GGAAGGAACCAGCAACGTGATGAAAGAGCCGAGGAGAGATAGATAGAGAGGGAGGGAGGAGGGAGGGGGAGGAGAGGGAGGGAGGAGGAGGGAGGGAGGGAGGGAGGGAGGGAGGGAGGGAGGGAGGGAGGGAGGGAGGGAGGGAGGGAGGGAGGGAGGGAGAGAGAAGAGAGAGAGAGAGAGAGAGAGAGAGAGAGAGAGAGAGAGAGAGAGAGAGAGAGAGAGAGAGAGAGAGAGAGAGAGAGAGAGAGAGAGAGAGAGAGAGAGAGAGAGATGAGAGAGAGAGAGAGATGAGAAAAGAGAGAAAGAGAGAAAGAGAAAGAGAACAGAAAGAAAGAGAAAGAAAAGATTTACAAATCCGAACTGATTTACGAAGCCCGGCCGAACACGCGCCGACGAGTCTCATCCCGCAGGCAAGAACAGGCCAAACGAAGAGAGAAAGAACCAAGGACAACAAAGCGGGAGAAGGAGACGCCGACGCAGAATGAGGAAACGGGAAAACGGGGGAAAAAATAAATAACGAGAGACAACGAGGCACGAGGAAGCCGCGATCGAGACAAGTAGGAGGAGGAAGCAAGAAGGATGAGGGAGATGGGACAGGCAGGAAACCGGAGCCACAGAAGGGAGACAGATGAGGCGGGAGGCGGCAGCGAGAAACAAGGAGGAAGAGAGGACAGGAAGGAAATAGGAGCCGGCGGGAGCCACACAGGAGGCAGACAGATGAGACATGAGGCGGCAAGCAGGAGATGCAAGAAGTGCGAGGAAGAAAGGGCGATAAGGAAGCAGGATCCGGCAGCGGGCAGACAGGAGGCACGAAGGAGGTAACAAGATAAGGCTGGAGGAGAAGAAGCAAGACGGAGGAGGAAAAGACCAGAAGGAAACAGGAGGCAGACAGGAGGTGGGAGACAGACAGGAGGCAGACAGGAGGTGGGAGGCAGACAGGAGGAGGGAGACAGACAGGAGGTGGGAGTCAGACAGGGGGGTAGGAGGCAGATAGGAAGGTAGGAGGCAGACAGGATAGGGAGCAGACAGGGAGGTAGGAGGCAGACAGAAGGATAGGAGACAGATAGGAAGGTAGGGGCCAGACAGGAGGCAGACAGGAGGGTACGAGCCAGACAGGAGGGTAGGAGGAGACAGGGGGTAGGAGGCAGACAGGGGGGTAGGATGCAGACAGGGGGGCTACAGCAGGTAGAGACAGGAGGAGCCAGACAGAAGGCAGACAGGGGGGCAGGAGCCAGACAGCAGGCAGACAGGAGGCAGGCGGGAGGCAGACAGACGAGGCCACGAGCGGCGGCGGCGGCGGATCCTCCCGGCGAAGCAATCTAACTTGAAGGTGGGTCCGGAGCCCGTTCCCGACGCGCGATAAATCTTCAGGCGGCAGACGTAACTCCGAGGCCGCGGCGGGGACCTCTCGCCCTCGCGCCCTACAACCTGTTTTACCTCGTGTACTCGCGCGTGTCAACACCGGAGATCCTGGTTCGCCTTGTTGTGGCCCGTGTACCGCAGGCGCTGTACACCCGCCTGCTTTCCCCCATACATCACCCGAGCATGCGCAGTGCAGTGAGGACATCTCCCTGCCTTCGCCTCGCGTGGCCGACACGTCCCATTGCTTTTCTTTTTTGACTTTGACACGTTTATTGAGACAAAAGTAAGATGGTGATTACTTTGACTTTGACACGTTTATTGAGACAAAAGCAAGATGGTGATTACTTTGACTTTGACACGTTTATTGAGACAAAAGCAAGATGGTGATTACTTTGACTTTGACACGTTTATTGAGACAAAAGATGGTGATTACTTTGACTTTGACACGTTTATTGAGACAAAAGCAAAGATGGTGATTACTTTGACTTTGACACACGTTTATTGAGACAAAAGCAAGATGGTGATTACTTTGACTTTGACACGGTTATTGAGACAAAAGCAAGATGGTGATTACTTTGACTTTGACACGTCTATTGAGACAAAAGCAAGATGGTGATTACTTTGACTTTGACACGTTTATTGAGACAAGAGTAAGATGGTGATTACTTTGACTTTGACACGTTTATTGAGACAAAAGTAAGATGGTGATTACTTTGACACGTTTATTGAGACAAGAGTAAGATGGTGATTACTTTGACTTTGACACGTTTATTGAGACAAGAGTAAGATGGTGATTACTTTGACTTTGACACGGTTATTGAGACAAAAGCAAGATGGTGATTACTTTGACTTTGACACGTTTATTGAGACAAAAGCAAGATGGTGATTACTTTGACTTTGACACGTTTATTGAGACAAAAGTGATGGTGATTACTTTGACTTTGACACGTTTATTGAGACAAAAGCAAGATGGTGATTACTTTGACTTTGACACGTTTATTGAGACAAAAGCAAGATGGTGATTACTTTGACTTTGACACGTTTATTGAGACAAAAGCAAGAGGTGATTACTTTGACTTTGACACGTTTATTGAGACAAAAGCAAGATGGTGATTACTTTGACTTTGACACGTTGAGACACTTTGACACGTTTAGAGACAAAGTAAGATGGTGATTACTTTGACTTTGACACGTTTTATTGAGACAAAAGTAAGATGGTGATTACTTTGACTTTGACACGTTTATTGAGACAAAGTAAGATGGTGATTACTTTGACTTTGACACGTTTATTGAGACAAAAAGATGGTGATTACTTTGACTTTGACACGTTTATTGAGACAAGAGTAAGATGGTGATTACTTTGACTTTGACACGTTTATTGAGACAAAAAGATGGTGATTACTTTGGCTAAGATTGATTACTTTGACTTTGTTTTATTGAGACAAGAGTAAGATGGTGATTACTTTGACTTTGACACGTTTATTGAGACAAAAAGTAAGATGGTGATATACTTTGACTTTGACACGTTTATTGAGACAAAAGTAAGATGGTGATTACTTTGACTTTGACACGTTTATTGAGACAAAAGCAAGATGGTGATTACTTTGACACGTTTATTGAGACAAAAGCAAGATGGTGATTACTTTGACTTTGACACGTTTATTGAGACAAAAGCAGTTTATGTGGTGATTACTTTGACTTTATTGAGACAACGACTTTGACACGTTTATTGAGACAAAAGTAAGATGGTGATTACTTTGACACGTTTATTGAGACACTTTGACTTTGAGACAAAAGCGTTTTTATTGAGACAAAAGTACACTTTGATGAGACAAAAGTAAGATGGTGATTACTTTGACTTTGACACGTTTGACACTTTGACTTTGACACGTTTATTGAGACAGCAAAGCGACTTTGAGACGTTTATTGAGACAAAAGCAAGATGGTGATTTCTTTGACTACACGTTTATTGAGACCTTGACTTTGACAATTGAGACAAAAGCAAGATGGTGATTACTTTGACTTTGACACGTTTATTGAGACATAAGATGGTGATTACTTTGACTTTGACACGTTTATGAGACAAAAGCAAGATTGGTGATTACTTTGACTTTGACACGTTTTATTGAGACAAAAGTAAGATGGTGATTACTTTGACTTTGACACGTTTATTGAGACAAAAGCAAGATGGTGGACTTTTACACCTTTGACTTTGACAATTGAGACAAAAGCAAGATGGTGATTACTTGACTTGACACGCACTTTGACTTTGACACGTTTATTGAGACAAAAGCAAGATGGTGATTACTTTGACTTTGACACGGTTATTGAGACAAAAGCAAGATGGTGAGCTATCCCCTTGCGCTTCGTATATGCATCCCGAGACATACGCGCCCGCACGCCCGCAAACACCCAACGGACCACCCTCTCTCGCCCTTGACCTATCCTTCGTCACCCCGCCCGGAAACCCCACGCGTCACCCTCCCCCCCCGCCCCACTCGCCCTTCCGGGACTATCAGCCCCCACCATCGCCCTCAGCATCGCCGCTTTTGTGCCCAGTACCTCCTATCTCTTCCCCCTTGTCGCTGGCTTACTCCGCTGGCCTATTCCCCCTATCCCATTCACTCTTATACACCCCTTAAAGATAATCACACTTGACACTGATCGCCACTCACACTAACTCTAACCGACACCCTACCATACGGCTCGCTACCATGCGATGCCGCTCACTCTTTCCTAATAATGCGCCCACGTTTTGTATATGGGCGTTGGACATGAAGCTTTTAATGATGATTCTGTACGTGAAAAAAGATGGGGTGAGGACGAGGGGAACAAGGTGAGCGGAAGAGTGGAAGAGAGAAAGGGAGAGTGAGAGTGAGAGTTAGAAGGGGACATAGAGAAAGGGAGAGTGAGAGTGAGAAGGGGACAGAGAGGGAGAGAGAGAGAGAGAGAGAGGGAGAGGGAGAGGAGAGGGAGAGAAAGAAGAAAGAAAGAAAGAGAAAGAGAGAGAGAGAGAGAGAGAGAGAGAGAGAGAGAGAGAGAGAGAGAGAGAGAGAGAGAGAGAGAGAGAGAGAGCGAGCAGGAGCAAGTATACGATGAAAAAAAGAATGGAGCAGCCACGCTAAACCATTAACTCCTTTGATTCACAACTCCCCCAAAACCAAAAGCAGTAAACAGTCCATAAAGCCAGAGGAGGAAGTGACCAAGAAGGGAGATAACCCACGAAGCCAAAAGGGGGGAGGGGGGCTGGGGCGAGGGAGGGAGGGCGGAGGGAGAGTGGGAAGAGAGAGTGGAAGGGGAGAATGAGGAGGGAGAATAGGAAGGGGATTGTGAGGGAGATTGGGCAGGGAGCGTAGGGAGGGAGGGAGAGAGGAATGGGAGAGTGAGGTGGGAGAATAGGAAGGGGATTGTGAGGGAGATTGGGCAGGGAGGGTGAGGAGGGAGCGTAGGGAGGGTGAGGAGGGAGCGTATTGAGGAGGGAGAGAGGAAGGGGAGAATGAGGAGGGAGAATAGGAAGGGGATTGTGAGGGAGATTGGGCAGGGAGGGTGAGGAGGGAGCGTAGGGAGGGAGAAAGAGAGAGAAAGGAAGAGAGTGGGGAAGGGGAGTGGGTCCACCAGGGGGCGTCGTGACTCACCTTGGGGTCGAAGTTGAAGGTGTGCTCGACCCTCAGCGGGCACTGCAGGCCGCACTTGCAGGTGCCCTCCGTGCTCAGGTACTCCTTCACTTCCGCGACGGTCCTCAGCTCACTCCCGCTCGGGCTGTTCGGAGGAGAGAGAAACATGTTAGTCCTTTCCACGATACACAATACAATGAGCAATTCCGCGATACAAGGAATAAAGACAATACAATGAGCAATTCCACGAAACAAGGAATAAAGACAATACAATGAGCAATTCCACGAACAAGGAATAAAGACAATACAATGAGCAATTCCACGAACAAGGAATAAAGACAATACAATGAGCAATTCCGCGAAACAAGGAATAAAGACAATACAATGAGCAATTCCGCGAAACAAGGAATAAAGACAATACAATGAGCAATTCCACAAGGAATAAACAATACAATGAGCAATACGATACAAGGAGACAATACAATGAGCAATTCCACGAAACAAGGAATAAAGACAATACAAGGAATAAAGACAATACAATGAGCAATTCCACGAAACAAGGAATAAAGACAATACAATGAGCAATTCCACGATACAAGGAATAAAGACAATACAAGGAATAAAGACAATACAATGTTTCCACGAAACAAGGAATAAAGACAATACAATGAGCAATTCCAAGTAAGGGTAGAGAGAAAATCCTCAACGACCGCGCTAATAACATGATAACCGCAGTATAATTGAATAAAAAAAAAAACATACACGGAAATTCATAATCCGATCCATAAAGCGAGAGCAAACGCCGCGAACAGCAATACCAATATTGGCCCACGAAATGAGGGCAATAAATAACGAGTACAACTGTGCAACGAAAGGGTACTGTACACAAGCACCCAATTACCGAAGGGCGCATTCATCATCCGCCGCCGCCGCTGCAGACCACACTCCATAAATACAAATACAAGTCGTTTAGCAACCTCCTCCTCCTCTACCCCCACCCGACCCGACTGCCCCCCCCCCCGACTCCCCCCCTTCCTCCTGAAGGCGCCCCCACCCCGACCGACTCCCCCTCCCCCCCTCCTCCTGAAGGCGCCCCACCCCGACCCGACTCCCCCACCTCCTCCTGAAGCGCCCCCACCCCGACCCGACTCCCCCCACCTCCTCCTGAAAGCGCCCCCCACCCGACCTAACTCCCCCCCTTCCTCCTGAAGGCGCCCCCACCCCGACCCGACTCCCCCCACCTCTTCCTCCTGAAGGCGCCCCCCACCACCTCCCCGCATCCTGAAGCTCCCCCCCCCCCCCCTCTTCCATCTTAAGGTGCACTTCCACCAGGGTCCGATGGCCACCTGCTCCTCCGTCCTGCGGTTAATTAGCCACTCGCAGAAGGCAGCGTGTAAATACCGAGGGTTTTGTTTGCCTCGCGCCCCCCTCGACCCAGCCCTCCCTCGTGCACGCCACCTGTCACTGACGCCCGCGGTATTTCACGAGGCCGCAGCCACCTCTTCGACCTCGTACGCATTCGCACTGGAAACCCCGTGGCTGCGGTCGCCTCGCTGGCTTGAACGCAGATGCAAGCATAAAGGACTTAGAAGGATTTAGAACAGCCCTTCCCGTCTTTCTTAAAACAGGTCCGCGCACATAAACTTTTACTCCCCGCCCCCCACCATCACCATCAACGCTGTACCTCTGTCTCGCCCTCAGCGCCTTCGCCACTCTCCTTTTTTGCGTCGGACATCACTGGCCTCGACTTCGACTTCGGGTCCCGAGGAGTCTCTTCCGGGTTCGTCATTCTCCCGAGTTTTGGTAAAACGCAGGTGTCTTCTTCTCCCCTTCTCCCCCTCTCCTCCCCCTTCTCTCTCTCTCCCCTCCCCATCACCCTTTTCCTCATTCCCCATCCCTTCTTCTTCTCCCTTTCCCTCCCCCCCCCTTACATACCTACCCAAGAAAATGAAAATGAATGAATCTGGAAAGAAGGCGTTGCCGAGGGCCGTCTTACGGAAGTCCCGCCCACCGTCTTTTAAGTCCAGAAGAAAAGAGGGGCCGAGGCGAGGGCAGGGAACGGACGCGCTCTTAATAAAGGACGGGGGGGGGGGGGGGGGGGGGGGGGGGCGGACAGGCAGTTGCTGCAAGGTTAGGATGCTAAGGCGACTCGAGGGGATAGAAAGGTAAACGAAGATAGGGAGAAGGCAAAAGGACCCAATCCTTTCTCTTCTTTTTTCTATCGCCTCTCCCCTCTTCCTCCCCCCTCTCCTCTTCTTTCTATCCTCCTCCCATCCCTTCCACCTCCCCCATATCCCATCCCATCCAAACATCCCCCATACCCCCCCAATCTTCCCCACTAACCCCCAATCCCCTCCACTAAACCCCTAACCCCCCAAACCCCTTCTTCCCCCTATCTCCCCCCTCCCCCTCACTTCCGCCCGGCCGCAGCCTGCACCCCCGGAGGCGGCCTCAGCACACGTCAGCCGCGGTGCCATCCCGCAGTATTGATATGCAGCCTGCGAGAGCCACGCGCCGCCCGCGACTCGCCCGCGACTCGCCCGCGACTCGCCCGCGTTTTTGGCCGATTGGACCCTGACGGCCGCCCTCGAACGCCGGCTCACCTCGGGCGCAGGGGCGTCTCATCACGGCCTCGCGGGGGCTGCACGTGCGGGGTTGGAGGGGGGAGGGGGGGAGATTGTTATTGGGGAGGGAGGGAAGGAAAGGAGGGGGGCGGCAGAAGGATGTTAGAAAGGGGGGGCAGATTGTTATTGGAGGAGGGAAGGAGAGAGGGGGCGGCAGATTGTTATTGGGGAGGGAGGGAAGGAAAGGCAGAGTGCGGCGGATAGAGGGGGGGGGGCAGAGTGTTATTGGGGAGGAAGGGAAGGAGAGGGGAGGGGCGGCAGAGTGTTATTGGGGAGGGAGGGAAGGAAAGGAGGGGGGGCGGCAGAAGGATGTTGGGTTGGGAGGGAAGGAAGGGAGGCAGAAGGATGTTGGGGAGGAGGCATTACGGAAAGAGAACGAAAACATTTTTCCATTTCTGCAACACTCTTGACATCGACAATAATCATAATGATAATATTAATAAAAACAATAACAATAATAATGAATAATGTGATGATAATAACGTAGATGATAACAAAATAATAACGAAAAATACCAACAATAACATTATCAGCTTTACAATATCCTAATACCACAAAGCAACATGGAAGGCAAATAAAACAAAAAATCTAACATATTTGAACGTTCTCAAACAAAAAAAAAACAACACGACAGAGTAACAGCGACCCGAAACAAAAGAAACAAAAAAACAAAGAAAGAAAGCAAACAGAAGACGTCACCCGTCATCCCGAATAAAGAAAAGAGAGAGACAGAGAGAGAGAGAAAGAGAAAGAAAAAAAAAAAAAGTCAAAAGCCGGCGATTCGTCATATGACAGACGGCATTTCTCGTGCCTCGTGACCGCGTCAAGCACATTACAGAAGACTATATGCGGCGGCGCGGGGTAAAGGGAGGGAACGGGGGAGGGGAAGGGAGGGAAGGGAGTGGAAGGGAGTGGAAGGGAAGGGAAGTGGGAAGGGAGGGAGGGAAGGGGAGGGGGAAGGGAAGGGAAGGGAGGGGAAAGGGAAGGGAAGGGAAGGGGAAGGGGAGGGAGGGGAAGGGGAAGGGAGGGGAAGGCGGCAGGGGAGGGGAGGGGAACGGATGGAAGGGGGGAGGGAGGCTGGTAGGGCACGTGAGGAGGTCGCCGCTGAGCTAGAGGGAGGTATGAAGGGAGGGAGAAAGGGAGGAAGAAGGGGAAGGGAAGCGAAGAGAAGAAAGAATAGAGACGAGTACAGAAGAGAAGGGGGAAAGAAGGGATGGGAAAAGAATAGAATAGAAAATAGAAAAAAAAAAAAACAAAAAAAAGAGGAAAGAGGAGAGAAAAAAAATCAGAGACGAGAATATACGTGAAAAGAAGAGAAGAGAAGAGAAGACCCAGAGAAGCAAAGCCTCGCCCCACATCGAGCCCCGCGGAGCCAACGAGCCCCTACTACCAAGTTCCCCTCCGTCGGCGCCTGTCTGCGTGAATCCGACCGGCAGAAGTCCCCCTTCCGTCAGCCCTCAATCCCCCGTCAGCCCCTTAAACACCCTTCGCCCCTCCCCTCCCCTTAAAGACCCCTTCAAAGCCCCTCAATCCCCTTCCATCAGCCCCCCTAAAAGGCCCCTTAAAGAGACCCCCCCTTAAAGACCCCTAAAGCCCCTATCAGCCCCTCAATCCCTAAAAGACCCCCCCCTTAAAAGACCTTCCATCAGCCCCTTAAACACCCCCCGGACACGCGCGGACCACCACTCCGAAGCGAAGGAATTAAGGGGGGCGCCGCTGTGCAAGACGGCCGTATTGCACGCACGAACGCGCAACTCCGGCTTGCAAAATACCCGACGATTGCGGGGGGAGGGAGGAGGGGGGGAAGGGGGAAGGGGAAGAGGGGAAGGGAGGAAGGGGGAAGGAGGAGGAGGAGGAGGAGGAGGAGGAAGGGAGGAGGAGAGGAGGAGGGGAGGAGGAGGAGGAGGAGGAGGAGGAGGGGAGGATAGGAGGAGGAGGAAGGGAGGAGGAGGAGGAGGAGGAAGGGGAGGAGGAGGAGGAGGAGGCGAGGAAGGAGGAAGGAGGAAGGAGGAGGAAGGAGGAAGAAAGAAGAAGAAGAAGGGAGGAAGGGGGAGCTGTAAAGTCGAAATCCAGTACATAATGTACACCAAAATGGCACGCTTGGCACGCCGGCTTACATCACTGCTTGGAAGACTCGAACAAAGTGATAAGAGGTGGGGGACGAGGGAGGGAGGAGGGGAGAGGGCACGGGGTGGAGGGGGTGGAGGGGGTTGAGGATGTAAAGAGGAGATTACAGGATGAAAAAAAAAAAATAAGAGAGAAGTAAAGGAAAGACCGAAAGGAGAGAAAGCAGGGAAGTAGGAAAAAAATAACAGGAAAAGAAAGAGACGAAGGAGAGAGAGAGGTGTAGAGAGGAAAATATAGAATGGAAATAAAAAAGAGAAAGGGAAGACCGAAAGGAGAGAGAGCAGGGAAGGAGAGAAAAAAAAACAGGAAAAGAAAGAGACGAGACAGAGAGAGAGAGAGATGTAGCGAGGAAAACAGAAAGACCGAAAGGAGAGAAAGCAAAGAAATCAAGAGG